TAGCGCACAGTAGTGCAATTGTCAATACATGAATGCCATAGGCGAGCCTAGCTGCGGCGATATGTGTTTTATGAGTGCTTTTATGCTGTTTACACAATTTGTAGTTATTGTTGTTGTATGCCCTTGAATGTGGCAGCTTGTGCTGAGAAATGGGTTAGATGGCCAAAACAACGGTAGACAAAGTGGCATGTCAATAAATTGGAATTGGTCAATGTACTCGCATTTACTTACATAAAAGTATGTGTCTGTCTGCTGCTGTGGCTAACACAAATATATGTCGCTCGTTGATTTTTTTTAGAGGCATGTATGTGCTGTATGTAATTTGTTTGTGACGCACAATTGGCAATAATTAGCTGGCCGCTTATTTTTTATTCACAGCATTTTGCCGGTTTCTGTAGGCTGCAGAGCGGCGAACCAAAGCTCTACCGTTGATTAAAATTCTCTTTTAGACATTTTAGATGATTGCTAATCAGCAACTGCCGCTTTGGTGTACATACATATGTGTATGTATAGGGGACTTTCAGTTAGATACTAATACATACATACACATACGCATGGATTTACTTAGCTGCAAGTTTGTGTCTTCAGTCTTTCGTTGTGTTACTGCTCGATCGCTGCTAACGCATGATTTTATGTGCACCGCAAATGCGTTGATGGTATTTGTTTTTTTTTTTTAATCTCGTTTTTTTTCGCTGTACTTCTTACCTTGCTTTTAATTTGGATCATAGCTTACTTTGGTTATTTCTGTTTATTTGATTTTGTATTTTTCCGCTCATTGCCGCCGCTTACTTAGTAGCAATTTTATCAACGAGCGCAAATTATTTAGCTAGTTAAGCGTAAACATGTCTGCACAGCATTGCAAGCGCGTAATCAATTTAACACTTTAAATGTTCGCAGCGCAACCAAAGTTGGTCTAGTTGCGTTTTTTCGTAGCATTTTTTTTTCGCAACTACTTAAGTAAATTGCAATGACCGGGAGTGTGGTTGATGAAAACATTTCTTTGCATTTTGTGCGGGAATGCGCAACCATTGAGCAATTGGCAAGATTTCGATTGAAATTAGTTAAAATTAAATAGATCGAAATACATTTGTTTAATTTGTATTTTATTGACCCACATATTGTGCAGCTCAATATACAGGCAATCTATGTATTTGTGAGTGAGTAAGAAAACTTCACTCAGCTAATCGTACAAATAAGTAAAATGAAGAAATAAATGCACAAAACCGGAAATGAGCCCAGCGAAATGATTTGATTTTTCCTAAACTCACTTTTACTTTTGGGCTTTCTAAGAGATTTGCGCACTGAGTAAAATGCATATGTATGTGCATTAGGGCGAAGTAATTTTATTTCGAAAATAGTGTATGGCATATTCGAATTCTGCGTTCGATGCTAAGTAAAAATGGTGTAAAAACTACCAAAAATGACGTTTGACCCTCCGAATTTTTAAAAGAAAAATCAGTGTATTGTAATTTTTTTCTGCACAAAATTAATACATAATTTCATTTTTTTTGTGCCACTTGGCATCGATAAATTTCGTTATGCTTATTTATTTCGAACACAATTTTTTGGTACAATGAAAAATAAATTTCCACCAAAAGAGTTACAATATATTGATTTTTTTTTTTGAAAATTTGGAGGCTCAAACGTTAATTTTGGTAAACAGTTTGTTCGCCACTTTTGCTTAGAATCAATCGTAGAATTTGCATTTGCTTTACACTGGCCTCGAAGTTTTTGCTCCGAACAAATTACAACGCCCTAATGTACACATATTTATATGATATTTTAGTGAAATGCGTAACGCACACAGATTTTATGAAACTTTTTTAAGACACAAACGACAGCTTAGCTAATGCTTTTACACAAAATCAGGTGGTTTACTTTCACTGCGATTGGGATTTTTCCATACATCAAACTATTTGTATTCAAATTGGCGTACACCTCCCTGCCACACGCCTTTTATGTTAAAGAGATAATTGCTGTTTTAAAGAGTAAATAATAGGCAAAGTCAGTGTAAGTATTTTGTTTAAAATAACAGTGTAGTATTTAAATGATGGTTTGCAGATGGGCAAACAGAGAAAGTATAAAAGTTGCAGAGTCCATATCTGTGGATCATTGAAGTAGTTATGGTATTAAAAATAGCAAAACTCCATATTCTCAATATTTGGCATTACATTCATTTAATGGCTTAGGCCGAGACCAACGTCTATGTTGCGACCGAGTCGAAGGATATGTTACCCGGAGTATGCTCATCCATGCTTACAGCTTGCCTAACCTAGCACAATCTTTGCATTTTCATACACTTAGGTATATTTATGCCCTTAAAAAGCTTGTCATCGACGCCAACAGGTCACCTTTGATTCATACACTTTGAAATATTTCTGCTTCAATAGTAGATTCTGTGTCTCTCCAAAGTTTTCTCATCTCTTTTCATTACCGTCCACAATTGTACGACATTTCAAAGGACATACAAGATGAGAGACTTGCAGAGCATGATTTCTAATGGTGGATCGGCCACCAAGCTAGTCTTCGGTTGATTTCCAAGTCGACCTCTTTGTGCTAAATATTATTCAGACATTGTCCTTTACTACTTTACTGGGAAATCAAGGTTGCTATTTTGGCCAAAATGTACCAGTTTTGGTAATTTTTTCTAATTTGGTACACTGGTACATAGGTTTCAGATTTGGTACATTTAGTAAAATGAGATAACTATAACTAACTTCATATAGTACTTACTAAAAGGACAAGCTTTTGTGTGAAAGCCAACATGTATGACAATCCGGAAAATCTAATATTACTGCAATACTTTGTAATCGAAAAGGCACTACAGTATATGCAGACAGCTCCTTGCGCTTCCTCTATATTTTAGCTGTGCTCCTCTTACAAATTACAGTTTTATCGAAATTTCCGATTTAGACGAATCAAAAAAAATGTATGTTTTGGGTTTTTATTCCACTTGCCAGGAAAAATGTAGAAATAATGGCTGACTAACAAAACGGTACAATACAATTTTTGGGCACCGTTCTAGTGCAGTATTCAAACTGCTTGTAGTTATATGGAAAGTTGCGAAACATTGCTACTACATACATTTTGGTTTAGTGTACATTAGAGATGTAATTTTTGTATGGGGGGAAAAAATATTATCATAGAAAACGGGGCTCCCCCTTAGTCTTCTTCAACTTTTCCATCGTAACTAATACAGGGGGCTCAATGACCTTGAAATATGCTACTGGATCGCAGTGAAACTGGCAAAAATATTGGTGATTTTTATAAAAGGCTCCTGTTGCCATGACAAATGAAGGTTGTGAATTTTTTTAGATAACTTAAACCTGGATGGTTCTTAGGGTACTGAACCAATTATTTGATTAATATAAATATTTCTGGAGTAAAATATGTGTACCTTGAGTATCCTCTACATTTGTCCTTAGAAACGTAAATTTTAGTACTAGCACCTCTGTCGGAAAGAGGAAAACCCTTATTTTGGACCAATCTATATACATTTCATATACTGAATATTATAATAACAATGAGGAACCTTTTGGAATTTTCCATTTTCAGACAAAATGAAGCAACAAAGTTTTTAGTACTGCGCTGAATACTCTAGCGATTAATTTTCGGATGCGTTTTAGAAATGTGTACATACCTTTTTCAAAACATTTTAAAACTTAAAAATTCCTGAACCTCTTTAGTCTTACACCCATATTGTGAGACATATTTCAATAAGATATCTCCCTTAATTTAAATTTAATTAAATATGTGGCAGCCCTTCCTAAATTTCGATTAATACCCATATAGTAATGATTCATTTAACTTACTCAACAATTTGAATTTAATTAAATTTTTAATTAAACAGTTCAAAATTATTACATTTATTTCGATAAAAAATTTATAATTTCTGCTTACTGAAACATTTATCTGACTAAGCGCACTATTAGATTTTTATAGAAAAATCGCTTTTTTCGCACCGAAATAGATGTTGAAGTTAATGCTATTTGCTTTCACATATATACTTATATGAGGCTATTTCTCTGGAGTCTATTTTATCGTGTTTGGATAAGCTCGTGCCAAAAGATAATAAATATTTTAAGCCGTCGTCATTAGGTAACAATTGGTGTAACAAATGCCCGGCATGTCAGTCAGGGAAAAGAGATAGGCAGCTATCAGCTACAACTCAAGTAGGTCGAAATGACAGTTGAAGGTGATGTCGAATAAACGAAGCTTCAAAAATAAAAGTCTCTCTACAAAAACAGTGGGCGTTAATTTTTTAAAGTTCACTTTCTTTGTGTTTCTGTACTCTTTCACACCTTTTTTATATTTTCGCTAACACCTGTGTGAATAATTATAACTGAATATATCGCTTTGGTAGCGACATTTCGGTTGCATATTGCCAAATGCGTTAGTAATTACAGACATTAAGAGAGGCAAACTGCCAAATCAATTTTCACCAATTTGTGTTGTGTTGTTTTCAATCCATCAGCTGCACGTCATTCATTTAACGCTGTTTGTGCAGAATTTGAACGTGATTTGGTTGGTACCGTCCCTGGATAATTTGCAATAGATTTGACGGCATTAAAGCGATTGGTTGCGATTGGCTGCGATAAGATAAATGTATATACGTAAGTACATTGTGGAATCCAGCTAGGAGAAAAAGGGACATTTCAGCAAAAAAAAAAAAATATTAAAAATCAGCGTGAATTCTTAGCCACTTGAAACTTACATTTTTTCAAATAAAATTAAATGGGCTGTAGAACTTCCTACCTTAAATTTTTTCTTAAAAATCCGAAAAACGGTTTAAAACTTTGCTGAAAATTGGTTTATAACATTTCACGTATCGGCCTTCCAAATGCATTTATTTTTTTTTTTCAGAACAAAATTTGTGTTTTTGCAGGGCAGATAAAGTTTAAAACCTACTTGAGAAAAAAACGGTCTTTAAACATTGCATTTGTGCAATCTTTTTCGTTTTGAGTTAACCCTATAATTCTTACGACAACTAGTTTGAAACCCTTTTTTCAAATAAGGAAGCGTATTTATTTATTTCAAATCAACGAATTTAAATTTCAACGGTATAGCAGGCGTACTTATAAAATGATATTTGAAGGCATTTTCCGCCGGATAGTTGTATTCAATATGAAAATTCCGCACCACGTTAGCCAATGTCAACTCCATTTCCAGATCAGCAATACGTTTGCCAACACAGCTGCGTGGACCAAATCCGAAAGGCAAATTAATAAATTTATTCACATTATCTGCAATCAATTGCTCGTCAACATTCATAGATGATGCATCCTTTTGGCGCAGCCAACGTTCCGGTATAAATTCACGAGGTCGTGGAAAGAAACGCTCCTCATTCGGTAGGGAATTCGTGGCAATTAAAGTAGGCGTCCCTTTGGGCACTTGATACCCGCTCAACACTAGATCAGCACCAGTTATACGCGCTGTACCAAATGCCAATGGATATAAACGAAGTGCTTCCTTGATGCAGGCGCGCAAATAAGGCAATTGCTTCATATTATCAATAGAGAAACGATCGTTTTTGTGCGGCAAAATAGCAAAGAGCTCTTCACGCAGTTTTTGTTGCTTTTCTGGATTTTTAGCGATACACAGTACGATAGTAGCGATCGCACTAGAAGGCTGTAAAATAAGTTTGTTGGCGTCTTATAATTTATAAATAAATGTTTTATGGTCTTACCGCATCCACACCACCCATCAGCATATCCATGGCCATAACGATAGCCGTCTGTCGAGTGATTTTCAATAATTTCTCCAAAACACTGCGTTCCTCGCCTTCGGTGGAAGGGTACTCTTCTAGGCGTGCTACAGCTTCATTGACATATCGATTTGTGATATCAAACATGAGATCCATTGACTCTTCAAAACGTCGATATGTTGGTGTTTTTATATATTTGTAGAATGAAGGTTTGATTCCCAAATCATAAATGGACTTTAGAAATGCGCTCATATGCTTGCAAAGTAATTTGGCATCTTTTGAATCGGGATTTTTGCGAGTTAAACCGAAGTCATAATCCAGCGCAACCACTCCAATAGAGTCGAAGGCAAGATGATTGATGTCTTCAAAAAAGTTGTCCGGCACTTCGTGTATATGCGGGTCGCGAATATCGCGGATTCTATAAATAGGGGACGTTTTTGAAAGGTCAGTGAAAATAGAAAATTATTATTATTAATTTCTTTAATATTTTTTTTTTTTTTAATTTTATTAATCAATAAATATAATAAAATCGTAACAGCCCCACAATAATATTCTGAATATATGAGTCCGGAAGGAGTTCTAGGTGGGTAGGGAATATGAGTTTCAAAAAAGAAAAATGTGTGACTCTTAGAAAGAACAACCTAAAATATGATACGAGCGATCGTTTAGTACACTTCGTAGAGTAAAAGCCTGGCTCAGAAGCACGACAGGAGAAGAAAAGCTTTCTGAACTATGACTCATGAGCGTCCATAGAAAACTCGTTACCGAAAATCGCGAGATGATTCAGGAGGAAATCAAAAACTTTGCTGAAAATTCGAAACGTTTTTAAATAAAAAATATATCAAAAAAATTTACAAGTCTATTTCGTTCTCCCGCCCCCCTTACACCAGGTACTGGCTACGCCCTTGTCTGTACACTATAAATATTAAAGGAAAATTAATATACGAGTGTCTTTAATAGACCAAAAGAAGCCAAATTAACAATTTTTAGAATTTTTGACTCCAGTTTTCTCGTATGTATGTTTGTACGCGCATAACTCGAAAACTAATGCATGAAAGTGAATGCAGTTTTCAACCGGTGCATTGCTAAAGGTCTGACTTAAAACATAAAATGAAAAATATTAGATAGTTACCACCTGCTTGAAAATTGCAATTTAAGTAAGTTGAAAAGATAAAGTGAATATTGCAATATGACTGCCAAAAGAAAGAGATTTAAGAAAGACTAAAGCCGAAAATATTTTTGTTGAAGGTTACCAGGTGTGTGAAAATTTTAATTAAATTTACTTGATAAGATAAATTGAATGTTGCAAAATGAGTGTGAAACGGAGGCGTTTAAGGAAAGTTTACTGTAGAAAATAATTTTGAAGAGGGTTGCCACCGGTTTGAAAAAAATTGTGTTAAATGAAATTGATGAAATAAATAAAATATTACAATTCGGGTATCAAACAGCACAAAAACACATTTAAGGTGCAGTGAAGCACGCCGGGCATTTGCTAGTTTTAAATAAAAAATATAGTTCACACACACATACTCTACAACAAAATCTATATACCCAAAAGTTTCTAACTTTGTAACAACAAAAATGTTGTACACCTTTTATTCAGTTTTTTTATTTGTCCATTCAATTTTGAAATAAGAAAGTGCAAGTTTAAGTTGCTACAAAACACCAATAACTTTTAACAATTTTTTTTTGTCGAGAGTGATGCGCATTTTCTTCCATATAAAATTAGGTTTTATTATAGGGAAGAAACACCATCAACAAATAAAACTTCCAAAAAACAACGGTATTTTGTAGCGACTTAAAGCTGGCATAACTAAAAAAATTCTAAAGTTTCTGAATCAATAGTGTGAAATTTGAATAAAAATTTGGCGATTTTTTTTGCTGTTGCAAAGTTTAAAAGCTTAGAGTTTTACGGATTTTATTATAGTGTGAACTGCATGTATTTTTATAAAAAAATTTATAAAATTTAAATAAAACAAAATATTAAAAAAATGGGGGAAAAAATTACTGCACCATTTTAATTTACACTGCCTGGTTTGATAGATTTCTCTAAATTAGAACATAAATGTATACGATTCAATTTTAAAACCGGAGCTGTAAGCGAAAACTCACCTTTTAACAAATTCCAAATTCACATTTTGCAATGGTTCTAAATAAAGTTTGGCATTTTTTGGATGCATCAAAATGGGATTCACTTGATTTCGGAATGCGCCCCATTTTTCACCTCTGTTATAGGAAGAGATGAAATAAATTTACATGAGTTTCAAAAACGTAATAAATAAGGTAGAAATAAATTAAACATCTGTTTTACTCACTCTGCATTTAGCCCACCAGTTTCTATAAAGAAACCATCTTTTCGTGATTCTCTGTAGTATCTAATGGCATCTGTACCGGGCCGACTAGGCCATTTACCTTCGGTGCGAAAGATCTTCCCGAAATCGTCTACACTAAAAAGTACGACCGTATCTGGTTGCCCAATAACACCAGCCATGCGATAGATATCACCAAATTTCTCACGACATTTAAAAAGAAAGTCATTTAGCGAGAGATTGACAAATTCACCTGAAAATAAGGGTAAATAATATTAAATGGAAATATGACTTCGAAAATTTGTCCATATGTTTATAAAAATATTGTGAGTGTACTCTCTTCAAGATCTTTTTATATTTTAAAGCATAACTCCCATCCAAAATTGGCTTTAAAAGTGCCATAAATGTCATCATTGGTATATTAGGTACGAATAGCAATTACATGGCTGAAAATCAACAAGACCGCCGGAGCTAACGGCCTGCCAGTCGTGCTATTCAAGTACGGCGGCAAGGAGCTGATAAGATACATGCATCTATCTACTCTTATTCAAATGAGGTTTCAGACAGAGCGACACCTTTCCGTGTGATTTCCTTAATTTCATGTTGGAGAAGATAATAAGAGCTGCAGAGCTGATCCGCTCTGGAACAATTTTCTACAAGAGCTTACAATTATTGGCTTATGCCGACGACATCGACATCATCAACCACACAGCCTGTTTTGCCTTTCCCAAGTTGGATAGGTAAGCAAGGCGAATGTGTATGTGGGCAAACGCGTACAAGACGAAGTATATCCTGCCATCAAACAAACAGTAAGCGCATTCACGCCTTGACACCCAAGTAAAGAATTCCGGTTACTTGGTAATCAGCATTAACACCGATCCGGAAATCCAACGCAGAATAACTCTTGCCAACATGTGCTACTTTGAGTTGAGTAGGCAATTCAGACGTACGATAAGCATACTCTATAAGTCTCTCATCATACCCGTGCTGATATATAGCTTAGAAGCATGGACAATGACAACATTCGGTGAGACGGCTCTTTTAGTATTCGAGAGAAAGATTGTGTGGAAGAATTACGGGCCTTTACGCATTGGCCATGGCGTGTACGACACACGATGGAACTATAGATGGGCACGGGACTAAATATTCAATCCTGATCCCGCACACCTCCAAAGTCCATTCCGAACCCGCCCATCCCGACGTTTTTTAGAAATGTAACGCGGGTTTTGTGGGTCCCGAAATCTATCCCTAAGGTTAATTCACATGTCTATCAGTTGGCAATACTTTTATAAATATCTGGATTTTAGTACAATGGGCTTTATGAATAAAAACTAAGCAATTAGGTTTTCTTAAAATTTCAGACCGTTTACTCGATTTCTTCAAATAAATTTAAGTAAAATTTTAATAAGGTCTGCAATTTTAATAAAAAGCAGTTGCTTAGTTTTTATATCGATTAAATTTTTTACCATACTATTTACATACAAACGTATAAGTAGATCTAAATTTTTAACTCACCTCCTTTTACGAAACCACGGAACATTTGATATCGCGTAAGTCTGGGAATTGCTTTATAGGATAGCGCTTGCTGCCATTCGAAGTTAAATGTATTTTGGGATGATTTGGTTTCCACGCTTTCAATCTGCATACAAAAATAGTTAGTCTACAAAACACAAACGTTCCCTGTCGGCAAAATTAAGAGCGTTTCAAAATAAACTTTATTGGAAGATCTTCCAATAGCCACGCCACTCGAAGGCAGATGTGAAGGTGTGTTCCCATGTCAACCAAAGTCGGTGTGTGTCTATTGCAAAGTTAAATTCAAACATTATTATTTGATGTAAATTTTCCCTTCTAAGAGGAGCTGAAGGCCTGCAAACTCTGGGCATTTCATACAAAATGAAAAGTAGTAAAGAATCGATCATGGGTGCCTATCGCTCAGAAGATCTAAAATAAGGGCTCCAAGAAGGCTTCTTTGTTGCTAATTTTGCCGACTGGGAATTTTTATGTAAATAATCAATCTGTTATTTTCAGGCGGGAGATATTAATTGACCATTAGCTCACTAAAGGTCGCAGTCAAATATCCGTCTGAAGTTCAAAGCCATTATAACAGCATATTCGCACTGACAGAAGCTATGGTGGGATTAGAATATATATTTATAAGTGTCTTTGAATTCGATAATACTATTTTTAACCGACTTCAAAAAAAGGAGAAAGTTATCAATTCGTCTTTGGACCACGTTAACCGATTTCGATAACACTTTTTTCATCGGTGGTGTCTGGATACTAATTTTGTTTAGATCTGATAATTGTATTATAAAGAAATTAACGGTACACCTAAATTTTAATATGAAAAAATTTAATTAAATTTAAATTAACGGGTCTTGCAGTCTCAGCCCCTCAATCGATAAAGCCACGTTCACAGATATCACGTATAAATTTTTGTGCCGATTGGAGTCAGTTAAGGCATGCCGCACATGGGTCAAAGTTTAGAAGGCGTCTAAACGACTACAATCGGGACAAAAGTGTATACGTCATATCTTCAACTTTAGTAGTACTAAATTTGGGTATTAAATGAAAAAAAAATATATATGTATATATTTTTAATTTTTTGAGTCTCCATAGAGGCAAATGGCCTTTGATCCCATTGCGACTCGCCTTAACCGATCCCAATCGGAACCAAAATTTATATGTGATATCGGTGATCGTGGTATTATCGATTGAGGGGGTGAGACTGAAAAAAATTCCCTTTATTTTTAAGTACCACCCTAATGTACATAGATGAAAACTAAGCTTATGTGCCTATTTCACACATTTCAAATTGAGCATTATTTGTTCAGCTCCAGCAAAATTTCCATAACACATATTTACTTCTCCAATTTCATCATAATTTACCTTGGCATTGCTTAGTGTCGACTGCAATGCAATTTGACTTTTCTGCAACTGTTGTTGTTGTTTTCCTCCATACTTGCACACTCGTACGACAGCCGTGCCGGCATTACGGGCCTTACAAATTGCTGACATTCTCAAATATGCCTAGAGTTTTACTCGCCTAAATAATGCTCAAATATAAACAAAGAAGCGCGCTCACCGAAAGTGTATTTATTTGTGTGCATGTATGTATTTATATATGTAAATATTTTTTGCACGTTTATTAATTGCTTTATTTTATAGCGCTTTGCGTTGAAAGCGTTGCGTTCGAGTTAGGAATTTGAACTGATAGGAAAATGTGTCGGATGCAATGCTTAAGTACCAGTGCACTGAAAAACAAATACATAGCTTGTGCAGCTGATGCGAATTTCAAATAAAAATGTTATCTGTACAGTGGCATAGAAGAAAAGAGGGAGCGATAACTCTGATAAGAAAGTACTTACTTTACAGCAGAATTTTTCTCCTGCTATTGATGAAAGGTAAATAAAAGGCATGTGTATATTTGCAGCGCATCATTTCTAAACTGACAAATTTTGTATTATGTCACTTGTAAGTTTGACAAAATTCTTCCATTAAAATCGCCATGGCAATTAGCTTTGACTTAAGTTTTAAGCTTTTAATGTAAAGAAATACCCTCTAAGTATATTTCGCTTTTTGTTTAGGTGTTAAAACCCCTATAAAATGTCTCTTATAGGCAGCAGAACTTTCGAAATACATATGTTTTGGAACTCACATAAGTACATATTTATTTATGTATATCCACCAGAAAACTTTGCTTTTGTAATGCGTAGGCCGCTAAAAATCAGGTGGGCTGAAAAACAATGCACCCTCTTAGAAAATGTTTAGCTAACCTTCCTTGACAACACAACCAACAAGTCTCTCTTATCAACAAAACGTAAAGGGTGGTCCCATACGTGGTGATAAGAAAATGTTCTTTCTATTAATTTTTTTGCTTATGAGAATTCGTTGATAAGTATTAGTTAAATTTTATGTTGCAAAACCTTGAACTTGGTGTACTGACTAGGGATGATAGGAATGATTCATATCATTCGTATTCGCAAAAAATTCGCATCATTTGATGCAGTATATATACGGTGACCAGATTTCTGTGGACGGGACGTTTGTAATGCATCGAATCCGATAATACAACTTTGTATTTAGAATAAAAAGACATAACATCCTTTAATGCAGTTTTGTTTAAAATTAAACAAAGAGGAAAAAACTTGAAAATTATCGCAAAACTTTATATACAAAATATAATACGGTGGCGAGAATGTCAATAGGGGAGAGACATTTTGGAAAGTGTTGACTACTTTTCTTTGTTTGAAAATTTTTTATTATTTTTTTATGAAAATATAGCTTACTATGTAAAAAAAAAACTATATAAAACAAAATTTTAAAACTTTGAATTTTAACAAATGCTGATAAAAATTTTAAACTGATTTTTTAGAACTTTTTTGAGATGCCCATGCAATTCATGCAAGTTTAAAGTAGCTTGGACTTAGCGTTGATTTTTGGTAATTTTTTTGTTCGCGCATTTTCTTCCATACAAAGTACATATATTGGACAATTTTTCGTATGGAGAACATGAGCAATATCTATCTCAAAAAAAAAAATTCCCTAAAAATCAACCGTAAGTCCAAGCTACAAAAATTTGCACTTTGAATTGAATGGGCTATAAAACTGCATACCCGAAATGTTTCTCAGAGATCTAGTTAAAGAGTTCAAAATTTTGATGAAACTTCGTGGAACTTTTCTAATTTTTGTACAACGTTTGAAATTTTGACTTGCACGGTCTTTGTTATTAAATAATGAGCTACACTGTCATAAAAAACAATAAACAGCAATTTAATTGAAACATGATTTTTTCAATTCCGTCAGTTTTCAGATTAAATTCAAACAAAAAAAATTTGTTTCACTTAAATTTCTTTTGGAATTATGGAAACGAGCTACATACATATGTACATATGTATTAATTATGCACCTTTTTTGCAATACCCTATACCCGTTGTAAACAATTATAAACAGCAATTATAAACAGCAATTTTTACAAGCTCATTGCAAACGAAAATAAAAGCAGGTTAAGGCAATTTCATATTTATAGATAAACAAAGGTCGTCATGTTCATTCCTGTTTGGATCATAAAGAGTGTGATAAGCACTCATGACGAAATAGTGTGAACTATGTATGCACATACATATGTATGTATGCACATTAGGGCGGATCGATTTGTTCTCAGCAGTTCTCAGTTTCGGCGACTGGCAATTCTGAACAAAAAAAAGTCCATTGAAAACTGGTATGTCCGTGGCAAAAATACACCGATGTGCTTCTTTGATTCAATGCATCGAAATGTACATTCATATTTTTCGATATATCGTGGGGCATACATACATACATTGTTGCATCGATTTGCATAGGATTTTTTAGATATTATTTCAGAACAAAATATATATGTTATTAGCAAAATTATTCATTATTTATTATTTTACAAAATGTCCAATTTATTCAGTAATTGAGCTAATTATTTTTCTAACGGAACTTTTCGAAGCTACGTCTTTTTCAAAATATGGAGCTGATGGAAACTTTATACCAACGGACTCGCAATTAGCGCAAAAAAAAAATCTATCAAAAACAGTTTAAAATTTTCTGCACCAATTTTAGTGTTGATATGAGTGAGTTAGATGCTGATGCGTGGCAGACTGTTACGGTCCCGAACAAAATTATTTGTGTTAAAAATTTAATTGATTCGACCATATTAAAAAGTTGTTGACAACAAGTTAAGTTTCCATCAAGGGCTTTTTAAACAACTTTCATCTGATATTTTAATATATTTTTTTATGTTCTTACTACATATTTCTACCGTTTTTATGAGTAACGTTTTTAATATACATACATATATATATATACCGTCAGTAAATAAAGTTTGGGTACAGCGAATTTTTTTCAATACGGGGTGATTCTACAACGGAAACCCCAAACATCAGAGTTCCAAACCTTATGCAAAATTAAAGAAAATTCTTCAAAATCCCATTCAAATATTGCACTTTTTACTTACGCGCGCCAGAAAAAAAGTTAAGTATGCAGTTTTTTAGCCCATTCAATTTTAGTAAAACAAAGTGCAAGTACCAGGAAGCTAGGAAGTGACGGTTCGCACATTTTTTCCATATAAAAATTTATAGAACATTATTTAGGTCGCAGTCGCAAAGCTTAGCGACCAAATTTTACCATCGTTAGTGTAGCGACAATAATCGAAAATAAAGTTTCAATAGTTGCAATAGAAATCGTTGGAACATTTATGTAGAATAGAAAATTCCTTTCGATACGAAAATTTTCGTTAATTGGTTACAGAATATACCCACAGGTCCTCGTTCAGTTTATGGCTTTAGAACACTATTGGCATATAAAAAAAATTTTCGAGCATACTATGCATATGCTATAACATTGTGAGCAGTGTTGCCGCGCCGTCTCAAGAAAATGTATCCCTGACCAAGCCAAAAATGTATCCAAATGTATCCAATTTTTTTTTGTTACATATACATCTCATAATCTGTAAGAAAACCAAACATTTTCATGAAAAAGACATAATTTAACCCATCCTAAGGACTTGGAATACATGTGCATAAAATCAAGCATTTGTAATTTCAATTTATAAAGTAAATTTTTTGTGCATAAGTATTTTGCAAAGTAAATATAATAAGTAGCAAGTACACCCTAAAAAGAGCATGTAAAACTTCTACTGAAAAGTATCTATTTTTCAACAAGAATCTGTATACATAAATATACATATAAGATGTTCAGTATTTGATTNCTAATAATAAACATTACTTTATTTTAAACATTTTATGTGTAATTTTGCTCTTGCGACAAATTTGGTATGTAAGAGTAAACAGGCAATGATTAATTTTATTCCACGGCGTGCGAATTTGCACACATTGAAAGAGGAAACTGGTTACCTCTCCTAATATGCGCAAATAAATAAAATTTTTTTAGAGTGTATTTAAAGTCTTTTCAGTAAAATTCATAAAAGTCTCCTTAAATAAAACTGCATTGAAATCTTCTTTCTTTTTAAATTAACAAAGGAAAATATGTGATATGAAAGATATTACTACAGAAAGAGTATAATTTATTTTATATATGTATATCGTCGTTTAAAGTACAAAACCGCGTATCGTCATTCTGCAAAACCGCGTAACTGACATTTGCTGCCAAAAATTGGATTTGCTCACACAAGCTCTTGGCTCAATCCTTATCCATTCGTCCTGAAATATACTAGCCAGAAATGCGATTGCTTTATAAAAAAAAACCATTTTGAGTGTTTTTACTCTCTAGAAAATAATTTATGCAACGTCACATACGCGGTTTTGCATTTTGTTGATACGCGGTTTTGTACTTTAAACGACGATATGTATATTAAGATCTTGCTTAAAGCATCCTTTTAAGCTAATTAAAGCAATTGGGCTTTTACCTATTTTGGTGAGATCTCTCCATATGTTCATTGCTTCGTTCACAAAAAATAAAATGCTTTAATTTCACGCTTAATAGCGATTCTTTATACGTTCAGAAAACGTAATGCTTTCTACCATCTTTAATGAAAATCGATTTTTGAACGAAAAAAACTTTATAGGAAATATAAAATTTTGGCCCATTTAAAAAAGTATCCACATTTATACTGACCGGAAAAAATAAGTATCCCGAAAAAATTCGCCTAAAAATGTATCCAATTGGATATATTTAGATCCAAACGGCATCCCTGATTGTGAGCAGAAAATTTATCAAAAATGCACTGGTTTTTTAGCAACTTGAAATATGCACTTTATTACATTAGAATTTAATGTTTAAAATATTGGTGAAAATTCGTTTAATTTTATAACTTTAGTACCAAGTTTATATAATGAGCTGGACTTTTGTAGAAAATGAATAAAAGTTTATTTAACCATAGAACAATTTCCAAAAGTGGTCAACATGTTGAGGTGTTATTTTCTTATGCATACAATATATCAATTTATTTACTCGGTCAGCTTTGTATATGGAAGTTGAATCGGTAATTTTTTCATCCTTTTGATTTGTTATGTCTCAACTCGTATTCTAATTCCAAAACACTTTTAACTTTTCGTCAGTCAATATAAAAGATAATTTTAGGCCACAGCCAAAATTCAACTAGTTAAATTGCATATCATGATATACATACATATATACAGTGACGAACAAAAGTATATGCAATTTAAAAAAAAAAAACTGATTACAAAGAGATTAACTTAATATTTTTTGAATTAGTATGAATTATGTTTTCATAAAAACTTATCGAA